TACATTTCCATTTTTGGAGTTAGAGAAGGATCTACAAGGACAATAAAAAATTGTGGGACTAGGTGTCTTGCACTATATATTTATTTTAATCACAAATTAAAATGTCTGAAAAAACACCAATAATGACAATACAATCATTGATGATGATGAATATGGCAAGCCATATCATTAAAAAAAAGGATACGTGCTACATTTGAATTTGATGATTCCAAAATGATACTGTAAGTTTATGATGACAAGTAATTTGTAAAAAAGTATGAAGGGTTGTGGATTGTTTAATTATACTTGCTCACATCAATATGAACCACTTGCAATAGAAGCATTAAATACAAACCTTATCAAACCTTTAATAGTAATAGTAAAAAAAGACATGGATTAAAAACCAGTTTCAACAAGTCTATAACAACGACCATAAAAATATTTGTTTTGACATATAATGTATTCTCAAGCTAATACAGAGTAATAATAAGTATTGTTAACAACAGATTTTTAAAAATTAATTAAAACATACTTACACTAATGTTTTTTATAGCTATAAAAATTTAGTTAAACTAAATTTTATCAAGGAGATTATTTTTCCTGTTCAACTATTTGGATCTGAATTTTGAAACTTTGACCTTCCCCCTTCAACCAGGCTCAAATGGTTATATTTTACAAGTGCTAACAAAGTATGCAAAACTTTTTTTATTTTCTATAAAATTGATAAATTTATATTTATTCCTTCATTTATTAAATTATTTGGTTCCAATAAAAAGTTGTACATTGGCCCAACTAACAAGCCAATTGATATTAATTAAATCAGCAAGTTAATTCCAACAACATTATAAATAACAACCCCTCTTTGAATGATGTAGGATTTTCTAGTGAAAATTATATCGAAATAGATAATCAAGATCCAGATCAAAATTCTTCAAATTCTATGGAATTTATTGAAAGATTGTACAAAATATATGATAAAGATTACAATATTAAGCACAAAAAAAAACAAATATATATATATAGTAACATACTTTAAGAATTAAGTGGATTAAATCTGCACCAGATGAAGAAATTCCAATGAAAAGTAATCAATTGCCGATTCGTCTATGAATCGGAACTAAATTTTAGGGAGATCATCATCTGAATGTGCAAGAATCATATACGTATATGTAATTTTGAAAAAAAGTAAAATAAAAACCTATAGTTTTTAAAAAACAAAAAATATCACAACCAAATAAAATTCGGAAAGCAGCAAAGCAAGGTTTGAGAGGCTAAACATAATAAAATTTTAAATTCATTACTGCTCGGAAAATTTTACCTTTTGTCTTTTCTGTTTCTCATGAGCATTTCCATCATTTTCAAATCCTTTCGTTATTCTCTGGTACTCTTTTTTCTGCTAATTCCCTACTCAAGGTTACTGAATATTTTGTGTAATCCACCTTTGAATAGTTTTGATTTCTGGTATTTCCACTTTTTTTGAATTTCACCTTCTTCCACGAGTTTCTTTAATTCCACCGTCTTTCGCAGACATTCTGTCTGTTTTGCTCACAAACTTTTTGATGTTATACGCTTTACACTACTACGTTGACTATATATTTATGATTACTCCTGAAAGCCCATTCTTTTTCAAATTGAAAATTTCATTATATCTAAAAAAAAACATTTAATACAACTTTAGAAGCAATTCTTGTAAAAAAACGTTCTACATGCCCAAAAAAATAAAAAAATAAAGGTGGATTAGAAAACTTTCCGAGAATAACGGTAACGAATTCCATACGAAAAATATTTGAGTTTATAGAAGTGTAGAAGAAGAAGAAAATGATGGCCAACAAATTATTTTTGAAAATTAAATATTTAAAAACTTGGAAATTACTTTCTCAAAATATAGAGATTTCCTTTTATATTAACTATTAGAATTCGAAATGTTCGAAATGCCATTATAGTTCACACGCACTCTATAACAATAACGACCTTTTATAACGATAATAATTTCTCTCTATAGTAATAATGAACATCTTTATAACGAACGGAGAGGACGGAAGATTCGCAATGGAGAGTCCGAAATAGATCTTGTAATTATTATTATTATATTTATTATGCAGATCAAATATATAAATTGAAAAAAAAAAAAAATGGAAATAAATTGGAAGAATACATGTGACGTACATACACATGCACATATTGATATTAAGAATATTGAGTATATAGGTGAATTGAAAACAGATAAATTATGTCTTATGGGAACAAATATTAAAGATTTAGATTTAGTAGCAGAACTTTCAATTAAATATAAGGATAAAGTCATTCCATGTTTTGGTAATAATAATAATAATAATAATAATAATAATAATAATAATAATAATAATAATAATCATAGTAATAATAATGCTATGTTATTTAGATTATTGACAATAATAATCTACTATTATTTAGGATTTCATCCTTGGTATGTTCATTTACTATCATTAGAAAATAATATACCTAACAATCAAGAACACTATAAATCAATAATTAATTATAAATCAGAAAACAAAGATGACAATAGTTCATCATTATATGATGAATTTATTAAAGAATTGCCAAACCCAATAGCATTCAATATTTGGTATGACAAACTTGAATCTTTAATAATAAAATACAATGAGAATTGTTTAATTGGAGAAGTTGGAATTGATAGATCATTTAAATTAAAAAATCCAAATAATAATAAGAAATTATCAAATTATCAAATATCGATTGATCATCAAATATTAATATTAGAGAAACAAATTGAATTAGCAATTAGATATGGTAAAAGCATTAGTTTACATTGTGTACAATCAAGTGGAAAAATTGTTGAAATTTTAAAAAAGTTACAACAAAAAAATACTCAACAAATTGACAGTATTAATAATGATTTACAGTTGAAAATATGCTTTCATTCATTCTGCGGATCAATTGATACAATAAAACTTTTATTATCTTTAAACAACAGTCCTAAAAAGAATAAAAAGAGTAAATTATTATCGATAGAATGTTATTTTAGTTTTAGTAAGGTTATAAATGAAAGATTGTCAAATAGATTGCACGATCTGATAAAATTTGTGCCAGAGGATAGATTATTAGTTGAATCTGATTTCCATTCACCAGTAGGTTTAGATTATTTAATGCAAGACATTATTCAACTAATTAGCAAAGTAAAAGATTGGTCATGTGATTTTACAATTAATAAATTAAAAGATAACTTTCTAAATTTTATTAATAACTATAACAATAAAGATAAAGAATGTAATGTAAAATGATTAATAAAATGATCAAGATTTTTTTATTCTAGACGTTAATCTATTAAAAGTTTTACAAAATATAGCGAAAGAAAAGTTGACATTTGTATCATTTGAGGAAGAGATTCTGGAAGCCAATCTCACAAAAGCTTGTTTATAATATATAGGACAATTCCTCCAAGTTATAGAAGCGACTAAAGCAATTTCTTTCATAAATTGAGAACGAAGTTCTTTGTAATTGTGATCATGTTCAATTTTATTTTGTAAAGTTAATAAGAACAAATAGAATGCGTTGTCAGAGTTTATGTGTTCTTGCTTCTTATACTTCTTTACTAATTTCTTTATGAATCTTTCAGTAGGCACTTTTATGGGTATTTCATCACCATTTGAAAATGTTGCATTGACAGTGTTTGGTGTTATTTCACTTTCAGATTCAGTGAATGGGAAGACAGAGCTTTCTGATCTTTCTCTTAGGTTTAACTTGGAAAATAATTTTAAGACTTTGTGAGGTTTGTTACGAATAGGGTTATGAAATTTTTTATATAAGTCGCCAAAATAATGACGTCGATGGTGTTTATGACATCTATACATTTTTATATAGTTTAAAATTTATATTATAATAATATTTATAGCTCTTATATCGCATTATTTTTTTTTTATCAAAATACGAAAGAGTGTATATGCAATAGATGACAATTTCTTTTTTTTTTTTTAATAAAAAAGAATTTAAAGAAATTTCATTTATTTTAACAATGAAACTTTAAATATTTGCAAATTTGGAAATTTTTCTTTATTACTAATACTAATAATAACGATAATATTGGTCACATTACGACTATTACGACTGAATTTTTTTTTCGAAAATATCTCGTGAACTTCTAGAATGCGGGACTCATTGTCATGTATTCCGCGTCACTAATAAAATTTGCAAAATTAACAAATTTAGAAATGTTTTGTCTGAAAAAAAGATATTATTATTATGCAGATATTTTTTTTTTATGAAATTATATGTTTTGTAAGTTTCAAATTATAATCAGGAAAATGGACGCTGTTTTCAAAATCTACCACGTCTCTAAAATTGGTGTCTGCAACTTGTTGCAACGTCACGAATGGCAACTAGTTGCAGACTCTATCTATATTACAGCACTTATGTTCTAAATTCTGGCAATTGAATTGATTTTAAGATTGATCAAAGCTTTCAAATTTTCAGAATTGCGACAAATCAAAAAGTCTTCCTACTTTGTCTCTGGTGATTATTTTTGGAAGAATTAAAGGATCTACAAGGGTAAATAAAGTTCGACGACTAAAATGACTTGTATCATTAACACGGTACAAATTCATTGAGTTGTTTTTAATAATCAATAATTGCAATGGTGTTACCAACATTTTTAAATATATTAAAGTTTTTAGTGTAACAAATATTATTCAAACCGCGGTTCAACTGGAGTTTGAATTACGGTCGAATTGCGAGTAATGAAGCATAACATGTCTCATGTCTCGTGTACAAACACAACTCTAATTGATTTAATATTAGGTGAAAACATATTTACACACATCACAATTGTTATGATTTCAGTGTCTCGGGATTCATTTAAAAAAAATAGTCGTATTATTTTGGGTAAAGGGTTATTACTAACTAAGGATGTTAGCCGAAATTGGTTTTAAAAAAATCAATTTCAATACACATAAAAAACTACCCAGAATTTCGGCTATTGAGTTAAAGTGCTCAAATAATTTCGGATATAATTTCGGCAACTCGAAAAACTATTTTGGCATTTCGGATTCAAATGATGTATACTGTAAGCATAATTATCATTGTTTAGTCAACCCGAGTATAGCAAAAGACATGCAGTAGAAATCATAGAAAAAATAATTCATTCATGGAAAAACCAGCCAAAATAATACAAAATAAATTATTAAATGGTTCTACAACCCAGATGGCCCAATGATAAAACATTAGGGTTGTTAAATGGAGCATAATGTTCTGGCATCAACCCGGGTTATGTATCACTCCATCGTGGAGTGGGTTAAGATTTCTAATTTTTTGTAATAACCCGGGTTGGGTTGGGTTAACCCTTGTTCCACAATAATATGAACCCAACCCAACCCATTATGTTCCATTAACAACCCTATAAAACACACTAAGGATCCTTTACTATATAGCACGGCCTAACATTGCAATGATTAGGTGTAAACTCGAACATGTATTTGCATTGCATTGCACAAATATATACATATGTTCGATCAACATCCTGTGACATTTTACTGATGAAATAAAAGAATTAAAATCAAATGAATAGTAAGTGATCCTTCATTTGGATGTTATTTTTATTTGTTGAAACTCCTGGATGTGGTGCAATTGCTCTAAATTCATTCAATTATTTAAATTGTTATCAATAAACGATCATCAAAATTGCATTCCTGATCCTGACCATGCTGGTCCAAAAAAAATCCTTAGCTGGCTAAATTTTTTTTTTTGATATTAACAATTATTTTATTATTTATAATTAAGGCAGTTCAAATTTGATTATTTGTTTAAACATCTCCTCCCAAGATTTTTAAAATTCTAAAAATATACAGTTATAAAACATGTTTAATAAAATATTTTGCAGCAAATTTCTCTGCTAATCATTTCTGTAATTGGAAACTTTTCATTGGTGTTTATTTATTTCTAAATTGAAAATATTCATTTAAATGAACTGATAATACTTTTATTTCTTTCATTCTTTGAAAATTTTTTGGATTAATGGTTGTTCTTTTATTGGTCTTATTATTACCTGTATCAGTGAACAACTGCTCTTAAGGAACAAATATGGCAGTAATAACCAAATATTTCTGGAAATTGATGATATTGATACTCTCCACATAGAAATTATTATTATTTTACATTTTAAATGATAAGTTTTTCTGTACCACAAAAAATGTTATTATTTATAGTAGGTCAGACAATAATTATTATCAGTCAACTAAATAATTGACTAAAATAGTCATTTTCAACCTTATGGTTGGATCCAGAGATCAGGAGTATGACCTAGTGATGTTCAATGAACTTCAATTTTTCACATGCATAGTTTTATAAATTTTATTGGTCAAATAAAAACAACTATGTTGATCTATTTCAGGTCACAAATATAAATCCTGAAAAAATGAAGATACTTATATTGATATCAAAATAGTTAGACTTTAACAATATGCAGATATTTTTAATAAGTTAACTAAATACAATAGACCTCCTCTAGTGATTGCATTCATGAAACTCATGAATAGGTTACACATATCAAAACAGTTAAAAATCATGCTTTGATTATCTGATTTGATATGTGTAATCCCCTTAATGAATATTCATGAATCTCATGAATGCAATCACTAACCTCATCCACTAGTGTTCCATGTCGCAATCCAAAAAAGGAAACAAAATGGTTGTAAAGGTGGTTGCAACCAGTGGTTGCAATCGTTTTTATATGATGCAAAGATGGTAGCAACCATCATCAAAAGTTGCAGCCGGTATCCTTATCATCCACCCATTACTATGATGTTATTAAACAAGGAAAAAGTCCAGATAAGAAAGAAAGTTGTATCTGGCTCCTCAGTGTTATTATTAAGGCTGTATTTTTTACAGAAAAAGTATGGGATCTCCAGTGAAAGTGCACAGAAAGCACATAATTTGTACAGGATAGTTACAATACACACATGAAACGCACATAAGATTTATGGAAAACATGTGGAATTCATTTTTCCCATAAATCCTATGTGTTTCATGTGCATTCTGTATTTATCCTTATGAATTCCATGTTTTCTGTGCACTTTTACCAGAGACCTCTTACATTTTCCATAAATCCCATGCGTATTCCATACATTTCTCTATATATTTCCTGTACATTTTCTGTTAATAATTTTTTATAGGATTGCAAGCCAGTCCACAAGGAGCTTTAATGACCAATTTCCGCCCACATGTAAAATACAAACAATTATAAACCACGTGATTTACTGTACAACAAAAAAATTCTTTTTCATAAAACCACGTGACTTTTACGTACAGCAATTTTTTCTGCTGATCATTTCGGTGATTGGAGGCTTAAGGTAGAGTATACGTAACACGAATCTACTATGATCTACAATGGCTAATTTTGATTTTATCCGGTTTAAAAAAGTAAGCCACATATTAAAGACAAATAAAAAATAAATAAATTATACAAATTTTATATCTTTAGCTTCTCAAGATTCTGAGTTTTAATCTAATATACAAACCATAAAAAATTATTCTATTCTTGCTAGAGTTATTACAACTTTAAAGTCAAACCTATTTTCAGATT